GAAGGGCCACAAGAGAAGGGAAAGGGGGAGGGAGGAGGAGGCCCTTGGTGGCCTCGTGGCGACATTGACGGCCAACCGACGTGCCGCTCGATGGCCCTTGCTGGCGTGACCACTGGGGCTGGCAGCAGGCAGCGCGCCGGCGGGAGAAAAGAAAAGGCTCACTGTGCTACGATGAAGGTCTGCTCCTGCCAGTACCCCGGGTCGACCCAGGAACCCTCCCGACCCCGCCGTCTCCGTGCAATGATCCCGACTACAGCTCGCGCCCTTTGCATGGAGGCGCCACCTGCAGTACCATCCCTCGCCTGGTCTTCTGGTCTGCTGCTCTACAAGACAAACTGAGCACGCACGGACATCTCGACTCCATCATCATGACTAAGTCCTCGAGGCAGACCGATGCATGAAGGTCCTGGGGCCCGATATGGTGCAAACGTGCACGTCGTGCATCTGAGGCAGAGGCACATCACGAAGGGAGGATGACAAGGACGGGGGAACAGGATGCTAGAATGTGAAGCGGTGGATGATATTTTTTTGTGAAACGGATGTATGATAAGGTTTTCGAAAGAACTCTACGGCGGGCGCGCGGAAGGATCCTTTGAACCCAATGCCAAGGGACCACCCTATGCGTGCTGCCCTTACTCACTGCTATATTGCATTGGTAACCTACGGTTCAAGTATTGTGCTCAGGCGAGTCCGTCGTTTCGCTAATAGCCCGGATGCGAGCCGTCCAAACCACCAACAAGCCACAACGGACAGGCCATAACTGGTTGCGGCGACAAACAACGCTGAGTAGGGCGTTCTACTGGCCAGTCCGCTCACATAAAAATATGATAACCAACGTGGGCCCCAAACAATAGGCTCTTGACATATATGCGGTGCAATAAATGTGGTGCAGTGAATGCGATGCAACCTATGTGATACAATATATGCGGTGCAATCTATGCAGTGCCACCAATGTGGTGCAATCCACACGGTACAACCTATGTAGTGCACTATGTGCGGTGTAATCTATGTGGTGCAAAGAACTTCTGTTCGCAGTAAATTGCCAACTCCTCTGCTCGCGCAATCATCCCACCCACCCACCCGCAACTTGGTTTGAAAAACACATGCGGTGGCGATTGCGATGAGTGCTTGGCGTTGGCTGGTGCATTCTGCGGCCGTGCCAACCCAAGCACGCGCGCGCAGCGGCCAACTAGCTTGGCGCGACCGACCCGGCCGCGGTGGCTCTGGCCGGTGGGCACTGCCTAGCGGGCACTTCGCTGCGAGTCGGCGACTTGGGCGGGCGCGGTATCATGGCAACGTCGACAACGGTAGACACGATACTAATAGTAGCAATGCTGGTGACGATGTTGGCCACGACGACGGGGCAGCCACTGTGGGCGCCGATGCTGATCACGCCGACGACGATGACGGCGTCCTCGCATCGGTGATGACGGTTTTGGAAAGAGTTCGACATGCGCGCGCGGCCGACGCGCGAGAGTGGCCCGCATGGTATTCTTCGACACGGATCGTGCCCCCCCCCGCACGCGCGCAAAGGGCGTGCGAATGATGTCGGCATGCGGCGCCAGAGGCCCGCTTGGCGTAAGTCCATGAACATGTTGAAGAACCGATGGTTTTCTCAAGAACTTGCAAGAGCGCGAGCGCACTCTTTTTCGACAACTGTTGTTGCGACTTATTTTGCCCACAATATGTATATGTATGTAGACTTTATATATATATATATATATATATATATATGTACGGCTGTGTGTACTGTCTTCTTTGCAGAGATGATTGGCAAGAGCGTTTCCCCCAGCATTTCCCCTCCCGCTCCCCGTGTTGTGAAATCATGTGTTTGGATCTGTTTTTTGGACGCTCGATTTTGACATCCTTCCAGAACATAGTTTTTGTTTTTTTGTTGTTCATTTTTGTTTTTTGCTATCTGTTTCCTCTTCTTTCTTCTTCTTCTCCCTCAAGGATTCAGGCATGCGCGTGCGACGACGCGCGCGTGTGCACTTCGCCACCAAAAGGGTTCTCGAACACGGATGACTTTTTAGAAACGAGTGTGCGAACATAATATGTTTTACACCATATGACGGAGGGGGTCCATACGGGTTGTGCTGGGATGGTACGAGTTCATATATTTAGGATGGACGATGGGGCAGAATCATACTTAAATCGAATGCGAAAAAAGGTGCCCATAATCCCGGGTGGTGGCGGTAGAGTCTTCACCTGATAAGAAAAGAGAACTGATGTTAACCAACGAATTGGCACATCCCATGCTTTTGCAGACATCCCACACCCGCAAGCTTGCTTGGTTTGCGAAGCCCATGCGGTGGTTGTTGCAGTGCATGCTTGGAGTTGGCCGGTGCATCTCTGCGGCCGCGCCGACCCAGGCGCGCGCGGGGCGGCCCGCTAGTTTGGCGCGACCGACGCGGCCCTGGTGGCGCTGACCGCTGGGCACATCCCAGCGGGCTTTTCACCGCGAGTCGGCGACTTGGGCGAGCGCGGTATCGTGGCAACGTCGACAACGGCAGAGGCCATGATGCTAGTCACGATGCTGGTGGCGATGTTGACAACGACGAAGGCACGGCCAATGCGGGCGCCGATGCTGATCGCGCCGACGACGATGCCGGCGCCCTCGCGTTTGTGATGAAGGTTCCGGAAAGAGTTCGACATGCGCGCGCGGCCGACGCGCGAGAGTGGCCCAGATGGTGTTCTCTGACGCGGATCGTTCCCCCCCCCATCACGCGCGCAAGGGCGTGCGAATGATGCCCGCATGCGGCGCGAGAGGCCCGTGTGGCGTAAGTCCCTGAACATGTTGAAGAACCGATGGCTTTCTCAAGAACTCGCAAGAGCGCGAACGCACTCTTTTTCGAAAACTGATGTTGCGAAACCATTTGCCTTTGTATGTTCTTTTTGGGCACTCGGTTTTGAAATCGTTACGAAACCGAACGTTTTTGAACGAATTTCGGCATTCGCGCGCAAAGACGCGCGCGCGCACTTCACCCCGTTTGTGGTAGCGGATTCTCGCGACGGCACGCGCGCAAGGGCGTCCGAACGATTTCGACGTGCGCGCGCGAAGCTCGTCTAGTAGCATTTTCTGGAATTGTTGAAACATGTGTTTCTCTTCCGAATTCGCAAGGGCGCGCGCGCGAGCGGATTTTGAAAGCTGATGTTGCGAAGCCATGTGTTTTTTTGTATGCGTTTTGGCGACACTCGGTTTTGAAATCGTTACGCAACCGAAGGCTCTTGGCGGATGTCTGCATGCGCGCGCGACGACGTGCGCGCGTGCGCTTCGTCTTTCTTGCAACATATTCTCGCGACGCCACTCGCGCGAGGGCATTCGGGCGATTTTAACATGCGCGCGCAAAGCTCGTCTAGTCGCATTTTCTGAAAATGTTGAAGTACATGGCTTTCTCGAAAATTCAAAAGGGCACGCGAGCATTTTGTGGGTCTCAAACAAAAGCCAGGGTTGCGAAACTTCTTCTCTCCGGCGCTCGATTTTGACATTCTTACGGGGCAGAAGGTTTTTGAAGGATGTCGGCATGCGCGCGCGACGACGCGCGCGCGTGCACTTCGGCCCATACTTCGCAAAGGATTTGTAAAGACAGGTGATTTTGGATAAACGAGCGTGCGCGACAAATTCTTCGCAGAGGGTGGCGGGGGGGGGGGGGGCGAGGGGCGGATGCCTGCTCGGCTGGGATGGTACGAACTCATATTTAGGATGGGCGATGGGGCAGAATCGCATGCAAATTGCAATGCGAAAAAGAGAACCGATAATCCGAGTGGGGTAGAATGCATTGTCGTTTTTTTAAGGAAAGGAAGAGCAATGCGACGGCGACGGTGGCGACGGGCGGCGCCGCCCGCGAAAGCCGCCGGCCGCCCCGGGCGGCGGCGACGGCGACGGCGACGGCGGCAACGGCGGCACCGCCCGCAAACGCCGCCACTCACCCCGAGATGGTTCAGCCAAGTAAGAACCTTATATCTAAGTGCAAGCGCTGTTTGGCGAGCAGTGCCTGGGAACCTTCTGCGGACCATTTTCCTTTCAAAACCTGATGTCGTGTGCCATCGGTGGGGCACATGATTGATGATTCATGTGCTCAATGCTCAACGGCCTGCTGTCCCACGAACATGCTTCATGCTGGCGGCCCCTCACTTGTGTGGCTCGCTGAGTCGCACTCGCGATCAGAATTGGCGACGTGCGAATGCCTCTGTCTTTTCTCTCTCCCTGGTGTGCAGTGTCGCAGTCGCGAGCGCAGTTCGCGACGTGCGAGTCGGTCGTCGCATTTGCGAACGCAGTTCGGACATGCGATGCCGAGTGGGTTACTCTGTGGCGTTGCCGTTGTTCCTGTTGAGATCGCTGCGTCGGGGGCTCGGCGCCGTCTTCTTGTGCCGCTCCTTGCTCGGCCTCGCGGCGGGGTGTGCCTGGGCGGGCGTCCCAGTGTTGGGAGCTCGGCGCCGTCTTCATGTGGCCGCTCCCTGCTCAGCCTCGCTGTGGGGTGTGCGCAGGCGAGCTTCCCCTCCATGATGTCGAGGACGAACGCCTGGCCGATGCTTCTTTCCGTCATGGGGTCGGCCCTTCTGTCGTGGATGTCGCGCCACTGCGTGTCCGGCAGCTGCGTGGTGCGCAACTGTTCTGCTGGCTATCATAGGTGGCCTGCCATGCTGTTCTCTGATGGCTGCCGCGCGTGGTCCATGGCCATGGCGGAGCAGACGGACGTGCCGTCTGCGACCAGCTGGGCTGGTACAGCGTAACCTCCCTCTTCCCTCCCTCTCATCTGCTGAGGCGGGTCCGCGCGTCACCTCGTGGAGCGCCGAGGGTTGCGCCTGTAGACCGTCTGCTGCTCCAGCGCGCAGAAGGATCCCTTGAGTTAAATGCCAAGGGACCCGCACATGTTTGCTGCTGTTACTCCTTGCTATGGTGCACTGGTAACCTACCGTTCGAATCGGATGAGGGGAAGGAACAGATGATAAGGAGGAAAACGACGGGAATGGCGACAGGGATGGCGAAGTGGGAGGAG